TATATATATATATATATATATATTATAAGTCTCCAAGAATAAGTCTCGGTGAAGTTACTGCAATCAATAACTCATAATTTATGTTGAATTTTAACGATCTAATAATTATTAAATTGAAAGTTCTTAATAAATATATTAAATCTACAAATTATTTCAAAATTTAAAAATTTTATATATTTAAATTAATGAATAATATATTTTTGTAAATATTTTGATATGAAACCTTTTATAAAAAGATCTAATGGCTATCCTGATATAGAATATTTAGTAAGTGTCAAAATTGATCTTTTGTGAGGGTCATGAGTCTTATATATACACTAGAGTAATATTATGATATAAATTTCTTATTTTTTGTTATGTCCCGCAAATTCAGTCGTATTATTATTATTATTATCATTAATAATATATGTGTTGTACTGGGAAATACACCCCTCGGCTGAACCCTAGGCCGCCGAGGCCGAAAGAAACACCTCAACCGACGAGTCTTCATCCAAACAGGGCACCCCTTCGGCTAAGTCAACAGCCGAAGGGTAAGTACCCCCTTCGGCCTTATCGATAGCCGAATACTTCTTCTACAAGGAGAGGAAGGAGTACTCCAACCCAAGCAAAAGAGCATAAAGGTGAAACAGTCAAATCACGTCTTCGGCCTCGACCATGACCGAATACCCCTTCGGCCTTGAGAAGGACCGAACACCCCCCTCGGTGATTTTGTCTCGAGTCTTTGTCATCTAACTTTTGTGCTAAACAACTTGTAGAGCTTCACATTTCTTTGAGCAAGGTTAAAAGGCTTTGGGATGGGGTTCAGGTAGGAATGTGGCTATACTTGCTACATTTTTTTTATGTGTTTTTAAAGGTACAAGTGAGCCTTGAATATATGGTAACTAGTTATGTTTCTCTTTTAGTTAAGGCTCATGATTATTAATTAAAATTTTTTCTTAACATTGTGATGCATCTTTCTTGTTATAGGATCTTTCGAATTTAAAGACTATTCGTTTACATGACTTGCCAGAGCTGATTGAGATCCCAGACTTATCTATGGCAAGAAAACTTGAACATATATCTCTTTTGGATTGTATAAGTTTGTGTGAGCTCCATCCATCCATCGTGTCTCTCCCTAACCTAAAAATTATGGGATTATTTCGATGTTCAAAGATTGAAATCCTTAAAGTTCATTCAAAATCTCTTCGTATACTTGTCGCCTATGATTGTTCATCTCTCAAGGAATTCTCAATTACATCAAAGGAAATGGTTTGTTTGAACTTACGTAAAACCACTATAAGTGCATTACCGTCATCTATTTGGAATAATAGGAAACTTAGTGATCTTCATCTAACAGTCTCAAACAATCTTGAAAGGTTATCAAAGGAAGGAGGAATTGGGTCGATTACAACACTGAACCATTCCGAGTGCATGAAGCACAATGCAAGGAATATGCCATTCTTACAACCACTCCATCACAACTTCGGCAACTTATCGTTTTTAGAAACATTATGGCTAACTGGAATTAATGATGTGAGCTTGATTGCCAACATCCAAAACCTTTCATTGTTGAAATTACTTTACCTGCTAAATTGTCAGAAATTTGTGTCTTTGCCACAGCTTCCACCATCACTGAGAGAGCTTCATTTAAGTGATTTAAGGGAACTCGTGTCTCTGCCACAGCTTCCATCATCACTAAGAGTGCTTCATTTAAGTTATTTAAGGGAACTCATGTCTCTGCCACAGCTTCCACCATCCCTTGTCAATCTTGAGTTAGCTGACTGTAGGAAACTCGTGTCTCTGCCACAGCTTCCACCATCCGTGACATATGTGAGAGCCATTAATTGCACTTCTCTAGGGACAGATTTCACTCAACGGATAGCATTACAACACATCTTGAGTCACTCGCAGAGTTTTGACTGCGAAACATGTTTCATGTTCTCAGGAGACCATGTGACCGACAAGTGTGAGTTTCAAAAAGCAGGGACTTCAATAACTATTCCTTACCTCTCACTGTCTAACTTGTGTGGTTTCATTTGTTCCCTCGTTCTTTACAGGGGATCATACGGTGGTCTTTTTTCGTGTTCTATCTATCAAGATGTCGAAGAAGTCTTCTACTACTATTACTCAGTCCCCAAAAATCTAACTTCAGATCACATTTTATTTCAGTATTTTAATCCAGAAGATCTTTCCAATGACGTACCATTTAAATTTGAATTTCATTTCTATGACCGGGATAGTGATAAAGATTATGGTCAAGAGAGAATAAAAGAGTGTGGAGTCTTCCCGGTGTATGCCTCAAGCATAGAAATTGGAGTTGGAGCATCTAATGCTGAAAATGAATTGGAATCCATTTCTCAAATCAATAATAATGAGTCACAGCCTACTGAAAATGGAGATGTAATTAGAGTTGGAGTTGGAGGCTCTAATAATGAAAATGGATTGGAATCCATCACTCAAATATGTGAGAATGAGTCACAACATGAATCGATTAGGGTTAAAGGCTCTAACAATGATAATAAATTGGAGTGGGAACAACTTCTTCATGGGATTACTTCATCGGTGTGAAACTTCACATACTTCACTTCTTCTTTGTAGGCTCCTTATTTTTAACTCTTTTCTTAAATTAAATTATACCTTCAAAATATAGTAGATATATGTTGAAAATACTCTTGATTCTAGAAAATTTATACCTTACATATTGCAATGACATTATGTTGTACTCCAACGTTGAGCATGTTTTCTTTTGAAATACTTACAAAGAATATTGGTGGGAAATGAGCTCTAGCATGGTAGAAAAGTCAAAGCAATACTTGGATTGGTGGTCTATTTCACATCATTTACAAATAAAAATAGATTGGTTATTTTACCGTAGATGAGTGATATTAAACTATGATGGTAATGAATTTATGATTCAAAATAGGAAAACCTTTTTTCCCCTCTTGTCAATAAGATGAGTGATATCAAACTGTGATGTATTAGAAATGTTTCCCGGTTCAGAAAATCTAATAATACAGATGATCTGAATCAAACTATTTAAGTTGGTTGAGTGATTTTCCTGATTGGATCAAATAAGATCCAAATCAATTAAATCCAACTTGAATTGACTTGGATTACAAATTTGTATTTTATAAATGTAATGATTCAAAAATTAAAATAATTTAAATTATTATTATTATTATTATTATTATTATTTTATTATATTTAGCATCTTAATATTATTTTATAATATGATTTTACTAGTAACATTTAAGTGCAATATTATTATACTATACTAACACTCTAGCAATACTACATTTATGGTAGTTCTTTGATGATATTATTATTTAATGATAATATTAATATATTTTATAATATTATTATTTTAATAGTTATCATACACTCTCTTTCAAGTTACCATACAACTCATACTTAGATGCACAAAGCACGTCCTTTATCATTTAACTTTATCACTTTTTTATTAGTTCAAGAGTCGTTTAATTCATCTTAATCTAGCCATTAGACCTATTACCAAAAAATTTCTAGCCTTTATTTTCACTCAATATATTATTTGCATATTGACATTCAAGTTGAGAAAAAAATGGATGAAGAGTTCTTTAAGTTTTTTTTTTATTTTTTTATTCTTTCTTACTCGAGATATGAGCAAGTTTGGATGTTGAATTTTTCGTTAGTTTTTTTTATCTCAATACGGAAAAGGAAGGATTTAATTTGTTTTAAGTGCCGTGTATGAATAAAATTTTATTTGCGGAATGATGATTGAATCGAGTGTAGTAAACGACATCATATTCCCTTAGGACTCAGTTTTTTCTTTTTTTTTATCATTACTAATATGATAGTGGAGTTAGCTGCTCCCACTATTTTTTATATATATATATAGAATGAAATGAACTATATTTAAATAAAAATTAAAAAATTAACCTCTTTCAAATTTCTACTTGATTTTTGCAAAGAAATTTATAAACGTGAGATTCGGGTCAGTAAATTTCCCATGAATTTCGTATTAAACAAACAAGTAGAAATATTTAAACCAAAATATTTCTTTTCTCTCTACACTATTTTGAAGCTATTTCTGCGAAAAACAAACACAATGTTAAAAGAATAGCTTGAGACTAACCTTAATAAGTAGAATCTAAGCGTTGAATACAAGAAAAAACTTATTTACTTAAATAATCCTAGACAATTATTTTTAGTTGATTCAAGAGTATAACTCGTTTCATCATATCAACCTGTATAAGATAAAATGGTACCAACATTAAAGACTGTATGTCTAAAGTGAGAATTGAAATTTAATCCTTCGTTATTCATAAAATACGAATTAAACAACTTGAACAACCAACTTTCAATTAATTCTATACACAGCCTTAAATAATTTCTTTAAAAAAATAGTAAAATAATAGTAAAAAATAACTATATTACACAAAGAACCTATGAGCTACTCCTATTACACATCATGATTTTCATATCTTCCTTCCTTGACTGGTTTGTATTCTTGATCAGCTTCAACTCCTTTGTTATCATCAAAACTTTCACACTCCAAGTTTTAATTGATTCACTGCTCCATGAATCTCAACAGAATAAGTCGTTCCAAACCACCAAAATGGCCTATAACCCTAGTTGGGAATGGGCCATTCTAAATATGGTCGTTGTGTGTTAAAATGCAATGTTAGAATGGGCCGTTCTGGTTTTAGAATGGGTCATTCTAGATGCCAAGTTTACACATGCTAAAAGGATCCAGAATGGGCCGTTTTGGATTTGAAACGAGCCATTCTGGCCACTCCTAATACCTATAAATAAAGCCCTCTAGCACTACCAAAAGCATATTTTTTCACTTTTGACTTCTTTTCTTCTATACTCTCTGAAGACCAAGGGAAACCTCGAGGAGGAGACCAACAAGATCCTGCTTTAGTTTCAGCTACTGCTTATTGAGGTAAGGGGAGTGAGAAACCTCGCTCTGGGTGTGGGAATATATGTTGGTTAGTGGGATTGGCCCCCAATCCTATGTTTGTTGTATGCTCATGCATGAGGAGTTTTCCCCAATGGTATCGGTTTCGTCTATTGTTTTTCTTGTATGTAATTAATTGTATGATTTGAGATCTCTATGGGTTTCTGTGGGAAACCCTAAGGGAATGCATTGGCAATCGTAAGAGGAAATTGTTTGAAGAGGTAATTGTATGAGTTAATTGTATTGGTTTAAATTTTTATTGTATGAATTAGAGTGCTCTGTGGGTTCCTAAGAGAACCTTATGAGAAACAGGCAAAATATGAATGTTTTCTGTTTTTCTTTCTAATTATTCTATTGTGTTCCTTGTTGGATGACATTTACGAATATGTGTTTAATTTTGCAAATAAACCAGTTGTGATATGAATTAGAGTGCTCTGTGAGTTCCTATGCGAAAACCTATGTGGAACAATTATGAGTATGGCTATGTGAAATATGAACAAAGACATGATGTGAATATGAATGTGTTAATGTGAACACTATGACTACGAGAATGTGAAATGTGAAAATGAGACATGAGATATAAAGATATGTGATGTTATACGACAATGAGATATGATAATGAGGAGATATGATAATGTGATATGAGAATGCATAGAATCTTGATTGACATGCATCATTTGCATAAAAGCTTGGGGATTAGTCCTTGGGGATAGCTCGGTTTGTAAGTCATAATCTCGCCCATTGTGTGCATTGGATGTATCTAGCGAGAGTGCGTAGAGAGTGTGACCCGGTATGTACTCCTAGACTACTCTTGTGTATTGCTAGCGGCAATACGTCATGTGATATGTGTTACTGGCGCCACATCATGATAATATGTAGTTTGTGTCCATTACATGTGCATTTTAATGTTATATGTTAACTTGATATTTTTATGTCTTTGATGAGTAGAATGTGTTATTCTTGTTAATCCATCTATGTTATGTACATATACATGTCTTGTTTGTGTTTGGCTATCCGGTGTGTATTCCTACATTGTGAGCCAGAGTGAGATGTTTGTCACTCCCTTTTCTTCTTTTGTTGTTTTCCTTTGATCGTTATACAGGTGATTATCAGCATGAGGCTGATGATGTTGGTGATGAAGCTTAGGCTTCTATGTTGGGCTTTGTTCTGATATGACATGTGACATCGGGGCGTAGATATGATTATATTGGGATGTTATTCTTATTAAATTATTATGGAAAACTCAGTTTTATTTCTTTGTAATTTCACTAACATGTTATTTGGATTAAGTTTATGAATGTGAACACTTTATCCTTATGTGGTTGGAGATTTGGTTTTTAATGATGAAGAATTTTTTTTATAATTATTTTATATGTATGTTTGGGTAGAGGGTGTCTCACCCAGCATCTACCACGACGCGCATCTTATAGGACGCCAAATTCTCCCCCAACAAAACTCAGAAGATTAACCTACGTTAAAAAACTCAAAAATAGCAAAGAAAGGTTCAAAATTCAGAAATAGCAACTCAGATTAGCCAAAAACTCATAAACGCTCTTCACCAGATTCTAATCGGTCAAAAAGATGGAAAATGACCCACCAATGACAAGCCGCCCTTCGCAGGAAGTCGTCGGAGCTCAAAATGCAACCAGAACTCGTTCTCACCTTTGCCAGAAATCGCCCAACCGCTTTTCAGATTAACCTACGTCACGCGCGCGAGTAAGACGAAGGCGCGACTATAGGGATATAGAAAGGTTTTTACGTCGGACTAAATAAGGGTCTGATGTAAAATTTCAAATCTACATCGGCTGTGGCTTCTATCCGACGTAGATTTCAAATTTTAAGTCGAACCCTATGTAGTCCGACGTAAAATAGTTCGACTTATTTACAAAATTGCCACTGCATCTTTTTTATGTCTTTTTTTGTATATCCGACAGCAAAGAGATGACGTAAAAGACTGATTTTCCACTAGTGAATGAACTATAAAAAGCATTAAGTGGTTTTCTCCCCTTTAGTGGTCTTTTTGCGATTGAAGGACAAAAACATGCTAGGTGTTTTACAAACACTTAAATGCAATTCAAGTAATCAAACTATTTTATCAATAATCAATGAATAAGGGTGATATCTGTTATGACAATATGTAAAAGAAAGAGATCAAGAGAAAGAAGACGACCCACAAATTATGTGGTTCAGTCAATGTGACCTACGTCCACAGGCAGTTCAAGAGTTTCTTATTTCTGAAAATAGAGATATATGATACAGATGCCTTTTAGCCTTATAACAAGGATAAAATATCAAAGCCTCATTACAACCCAAATAATAGTGGAAACAGTAACGGACAAAATATAAATTCAAGGCATCTCAACAATTCTCCACCTTGACTTGAATTTTCCCAAGTCACCAGTAACCAAGAACAAGTCTCCTGCCTATTCTCCCCGAAGGGTCTCAAGCGATGCGAACATTCACCAAGTCCAAGCTATGCTTAAACTTTTCAAAAGACAATGGTTTAGTCAACATATCTACTGGATTGTCCACAGTGGCTATCTTCTCTATGGAGAACAATTTGTCTTCAATTACATCTCGTATGAAATTTAACCTAACATCAATATGCTTTGATCTTTCATGATAGACTGAATTTTTTGCCAAACACAAAGCACTTTGACTATCACAATAAAGTATGTGTCTATGCACATTCAAACCAAAACTATCAATAAGACCTTGCAACCATATACCTTTTTTAAGCCTTTCTGTCAAGGACATGTATTCCGCTTCAATGTAGACAAAGCAAAAGTAGGTTGAAGTGTTGCTTTCCAACTAACAACACAACCATAAAGAGTGAAGATATATGTCAAAGATCTTC